GTGTTAAATTCAACTTTATCCTTCAAATCACCATTTAATGTTTGTTCATACTTGTCATAGTTTAAACAGGTCGCCACTTTATGTTTAACAATGCCTTTACTCCTCTTATGTTCTTCATCTTCTCCATAAACCTTATAGCAGTATGATTTAGGTTTTAAACCTATGAAGTGTGTCATTATTTTCCCTGATAACTCATCCTTCATCTTCCCAAGAACTTTTTTATTAGAAGCATTATAACATTCATGATTTTTAGGATAATCTGAAAAATCCATATGTTGATTTATAAGCTTAAAATCTGTGTAAATATCATCAGTTTCAACATGGATAATAAGACTATCAGTGTCAGTATATGCTAATTTTATTTTATCGTTATATTTAGGTTTTAATACATCATAATAAAAAGAATACATATGAATTTTAGAATAATCTAAAATTGATAGACCCATATAAATAGGTTTATCTAATTCTACCATTGCCTTTTCAAGTTCTACCACCACTAAATCTTCATTTATAATGTGTCTATGTTTGTATGATGGTTTATTTACTAATTTCTGGAAGCGTTCAGGTGTATTGATTAGTCTGAAGTCATTGTGATTACGAACGTTTTCGAGTGTTTTTCCATATACAGCGTTATTTAATAATTTGAATAAATCTTTTTCAAATTCAGTTTTAGCATTCTTTCGTTTTTCGGTATTGAAATCAATGTATGGTTTTAAGAAATCTGCTTGATTAAAACTAATTACCCTATGGACTTTCTTTAGTTTTAATCCATGCTCTAAATAATACTTCAATGCTGATATATGTAATACATACTTTTTCTTATCCATAACATTTAATATTAGTTTATTTGTTTTTTCATCAGATGCATCTTTTCCATAATATTTTTTATGTATTTCTTTTTGAACTGGTGAAAGCATATTCTCACTAACACTCATAATTTCTGGTGCTAATGGATAATCTCTATGTAAATCATGTAATTCTTTTGGATATTCTAAATCAACTTCTAAAATATAGCCTTTGTCATCATCATCGCTATAACTTAATACTTTCTTCTCATCCATCCTTGAAAAATACCAATTGAAATTATCAAACGGTAGTTTTTTACTCATAGCCAGACCATACAAGTTATTAGCATCTAAATAACTTATATAACTTGATGGTTTTGACAAGTCATATTGTTCATTCATGTATTTATTATTTGCTTCTACTTTTTTATGAGCACATTGAGTCATCCCGCCACGAAGACCTTTTTCAATCATTTCATACATATCTTTATTATGTATTTGTTGAAGTCTAACACCAGTAAGAGATAAGAAGGCTGACCACGAATAATTAGGTAATGTTATGTAATGTGCAGGGTCTAATCCATAAAAATTTAAACACATATCCCTAAAGTTTTCAAACACATCACTAAGCAAATAAACATCTGTCATCAAATATAAATCATGGTATTCACCTAGGTTTTTGATATTGAAATTATCCCATATTACTTTTGCCCTTGTGTGTTGTGTATCTGTTATACCTTCTTCATATAATTTACTGTAAAAGTCTTCTATATTCGGTAATTGCGATTCATTGAATTTATCAAATGAATTCATGTAGTCGTAAGGATAAACTCCTTTTTCAGTTAATAAGTCTAAATCGGTTTTATTTCTAATATATGGATTTGCTGATGAAAATCGGAAATTATCCTTCCAGTCATTCCGCTTTTTATATATAGGTTTATCATGTTCATCTTTACCTACTATGTCATATTTATTTAACTTAACTAATTTATCCAAAGATGCTGAGAGAAAAGCCATGCTATCTTTAAACTGTAATGAACCAAATGAAAATGTAATAAACTTTTCGCTATTTTGTGCTATTACATCTATTCTCTTATTTTCGTTCAATTCCTTATTTATTTCATTTGCTTTGCCTATTATTAAGTGAGAGTCATAGTTTTTTAAATTATGAAAAAATACTGGTATCTTGAAATATCTAAATGAATAATCCAAATTACATTTTTCGTGAGCACAACCTCTATACTCACCAGTAAAATGACAGTGGTCACGAACCTTGACATCATCTGGCTTAAAATTCTTATTACATATTGAACATACAGTAGCTTTTCTAAATTCTGCTTCTTGTTCATCTGTAATATCCATTGGTTTATTAACATTCATTTTATCAAAAATATCTTTTTTAATTTCTCTTAATTTATTTACAAAGTGGTCTAAACAATCCTCTCCACGGTATAAAAAAGGTTGACTTGTATTATCAATAGAATTTACAACATTCAACATATAACCGCATGGTTTATGTTCCTGATACGTGCCCTTGATGCCATTATTTGAATTTACAGTTATACACTCAAAATCTCCATAAACAACAAATGGACATTTTAATTTTGTATTGTATTTTTCAAATTCAATATAACTACCTTCTTTTGGTAATTTAAACTGTTGTCCATGTGTTGCCATACAACCAGTTTCATAATGTTTTGTTAATAAATCCTTTCTAGTAAAGGCATGAGAACAATAATGACAATAATGTTTTGGTTGGTCATTTTTGTTTGTTTGCCAGTTCATTAAACGACTTAGACTTTTAATAACTACATAATGATTATTATTATTGATTTCAATTTTCAAAAGGTTTATTTGATGTTTAGCATCTCTTGTTTTAGTTCTGTAATCAATTATAATTTTCTTTTCATTCAAAGTATCATCAATTTCATAAACATTGATTGAAACTAACTTACTATTATTTTCTTCAAACCTTTCAATATCTTTATTACCAGTTGGAAATTTAACACCTTCCCAGTTTAAGATATTGTCGTTTAATTTGTTGTAATGGAACATTTCTTGGGAATTTGATTTATTAATTATATCAAACACTACACTTTGAACACTATATTTAAAACATTTGTTATCTTTGTTTTTGATATTAATACATGCCTTTTTTAGTTTAATCCATTCTGGTAAATCTATATAACTACCCGCCCTAGTTGGGTCATATTTGTCATAATGGATTGTTATTGATAATATTTTTTTAAATTGTAAATTAGATGCTGAACCTTCTAACTTTTCTATGTTCAATAAAATCTCTTTGATTGATTTTTCAATTGCTTCATCCAAATCGGTTTCATTATAAATGTTTGACCTTGTAGCAGGTAAATTATAAAGTATCTCTGTATGTTTTATTACTCCATCATCATCATAATAATGATAAAATAAACCTTCTGCCCTTATATTCAGTTTCATAGCTCTATTAGTTTTCAAAAAGGTTAAAAGTCTATCTTTTTGGTGGTGTATCATTGATAGTGCCTTTTCACCTTGAAAATGTTTATTTACTAGTTTTATAGAATTAGCATAACTTTTGAAAGCTGATTGTTGGTCTGTTACTTGGAATTTATTTTTGATTGCATATTTTGTCATTGCATTTTTCATTCTTTGTTTTAGGTATGTTGAGCGCAATGTTTTTGTTGCATAGCTATTATACTCATTAGTTCTTGCTTCTGATTTTAATTTCTTGTTCAAAACATTTGAGATGGGTTTTTCTTTGTTGTATCTAAATTTTCTACCATCTATAATTATTGATTTTAATTCCTTGTTTCCTCTTTTTGGAATTTCCGCTTTATCATTATTCAACAGATAATCTATAACATGTTTCATAATACTATACTATATAAATTTAATGTGTTTATTTCTTTAAGTGACTTTTTAGAAAATATACTTAAAGATTTAAAACCTTAATATAATAAGAGGAAAATGAACGGTGATAAAATCAATAATTATATCAATAAAAAATGCTATGATTGTTGTCACTTCAAAAAAGAAAATATGGAATTGTATAAATTAAATTTACCTAATGAAATAGTGAATAATATTATTAATTATTCAATGGATGAAGAAGATTTATGTAAAATTTGTAGAAATTGGAGATATTATCAAGAATTAATCAGATGTCTGTTGGGAATAAAAAGAATTCGACATAGAAATGTAGAAGATGATATTTTAATATTTCTAACTGTAAATAAAATACCACCTTATGATTATGTTAAACAGTTTCTTAAAATTAGTAAGAAAAAATATGAAATGATGGATGATATATTATGGTTGTTGTGTTATAGTCAAGATAAAGGAGAAGATGTTAAAGAAAATATCAAATTATTTATTGAAAGTAAAAAGTTTAATGTTCAGAATACATTGAGAGATATTAATATTATTTTTAAAATGATGTATGAAAGAAGAAAGATTTGTCAATTAAATTATTATCCTGTACTGAAATTATAATCATACTATAATAATAACATGTAAAATCTTATATGTTATAATTATACTGTACTTATAGTTTGTAAAGATTGAAATATTTCATTTTTCCTTGATTTGGCTGACTCTTTCAAAGTGCGTTGTTTGAACTTGGTATGCTCTTTTGATTTTTTCGTGCTTTGGCTGTTTGTTTTTTATTTTGTTTGATACTCTTCTGATATTTTTTGATGGTATGTTGCTTTGTTTTTGATTTTGTGTGTTTTTGAGTTTGTGTTCTTTGATGGTTTTTATTTTTGCTGTTGTGTTGGTATGCTTGTTTGAATTATTTAATGTTTTATGCTTTGATTAAATATTTTGTTGGGGGTTGTTCTGGTTTTTGAGTTGCTTGGTGGTTCTTATCTTGTTTTCTGTGAATTTTGCTGATTTTGTTGTATGCTGTTTGAATATTTGGTTTTAGTGTTACAAATGCCGTTTTATGTATTTTTTACCCCACCCCACCCCACCCCACCCCACCCCACCCCACCCCACCCCACCCCACCCCACCCCACCCCACCCCACCCCACCCCACCCCACCCCACCCCACCCCACCCCACCCCACCCCACCCCACCCCACCCCACCCCACCCCACCCCCCCACCCCACCCCACCCCACCCCACCCCACCCCACCCCACCCCACCCACCCACCCACAACAAATAACACAGGCCAAGCAAGCACCCGCCATGGCTTGGCACTGTCCCTCTCTGACTCTCCTCTTCCACGTCGCTGCGCAGCTTCTCTTGGCGCTCGAAATTGGCCTGCGTCTCGTGAAGGGACACCAAGAGGAAGCATGTGTGATCTTGTGTATATATTTTCTAATATATGTTGCGTCTTGCTGCAGAATTAAACGAGGCTGTGAGCCCAGTGGCCGGGGCTGCTGAGCCTTTGACTTTGCAAATTCAGTGGCTTGAAATGTGCGTTTCTCAAAGGAGTTGCTTCCCCCAAATAATGGCAAGGGGTTCCTTTGGTTTGGATTCAACTACCCACCAACAGCTTTTTCCACCATTATAACACAAACCTCCATTGGCTTTGTTTAGACCCAATCGGTGTCCTTCTCGCCATCTAAAACAACAACACACTTCCGTTGGCCCACAGCGCGCGCAACTTGGATGTGCATCCGGTAGGTTTTTCAGCAACTCAGTGCGTCCAGTGCATCGGGTTTCTTACCAGGACTTGCAAATCGGTCCCTGAAAAGAGCAGGCAAAACGAAGCGGGCCATACCCACAACTATGCGAACGTGTGGTCAGCTGTCGCTCCGAAAACCGGTCACAATTTAACCTCACGGAGTCACGGAGACTTCTTTGGCTTGGGATACAAAATAGATCAACATGGCGCTCTTGGCTTCCGGGTGGTGCCCTTGTAGCAAACCCAGCGAAGGGTCATTAGGTTTCCCCTCACTTGCCCCGTTTGGACCTGGAAATCAAAGGCGGTCACCGAATTTTGGGACCTTCACCCTGGGTTGACCACTTCCGCATTCGCTCCGAAAAGCCCGCAACAATTGTTCGGGACATTTGAGGAAAAACCAAATTGGACCAACCCAAAAGGCCAACTAAAGACCAAATTGGACCAACCCTCATTGGTCGATCTTCTTCTTGGAAGTCCCAGCGCCTTGGAGAAAATGTCGATGAGCTTGGTCACATCGTTCTGGGACTTGGTGACCTTGCCGCTCACCTGCGATGCTCATCGAGCGGGAAGGACACCTCTTCTTGGGAGTTGCTTTAAGGGGACTTACCCAACCTCCCTTTAATGATGGTTGAAGTAAATTTGATGTTGAAAAGTAAGGTTGGGGAAGGAGGTTGCCTTCAATTCACCATTTCAACCTTCATGAACCCAGCAGGAGTACCTTCCTTTGTGTGCAAGTGTGTCCAAATAGGGATAGGGGCTGGCCCTAAATGGTGGCACATGTTCAGACACCCACTGTCTTTTGACGCATCCATCTCTTCAGAACATGGGCCAACCCGAGAGGATGAGGATGGGTGGTTCCGTGGTTTCTGAAGAGACGGGTGCCTATATTGGCCAACTTTGTATGGGTCCATCTCCACTTCTTCCTCCAACTCCCTGGCTCCTGAAATGACTGGAGGCCCGGTCCCGGCTCTCCGCGTTTCGCCCGCCTGGGCCATCTCCTCCTTGATCTCCTGCGCCACTTTCTCGTGCGCTCGCTGCGCTGCGGTGCAGTCACCCAGGGTCACGCCTGAGCAGCGCGAGACGTCGTCGGACGGGTGCTACGTGAAAGCTGAGTTGCCCCAGAGGGGGACCAGAAGCAGGTGGCTTACCTCGGGGTCCAATACGCGGGGAGGTTGGAGATCCTTTCCGATGTTTCAGAAGTTCACCCAGTCAACCCCCCCGGTCCAACCCAAAACCCACTATAATGGCGTTTCTTTCACGTTCTTTCGCGCTGCTTTCCTTCCTTTTTCGCGGCCCAAGAAGCGGTGCTCCAGGAAGTCGTCCTGCAGCGCCCTTACCTGGCGCACCGCCGGCACGAAGTCATGGCTTGCGGGGCGTGTATGCCACAAGGACCCAGTACCTCATGTTGCTTTGGTTTCCTGGGACATTTGTTGCACCCAGGTTTTCACTTGAGATCAAGCAATCCAACTTCAGTGGTGCTAACCCTGGCGTCGAATCACTGAACCTCCACAAACTGGAGGGCAGCCTTCAATCGTGCAGTGGACACGTGACCAGGTACACAGGCGCGGTCCACCGTTCTTTTCAAAGGGGTTGATTCCCCATTATTTTCAGCCATCGTTCTTTTCAAAAACCAGCCATTTGCCCAGGTTTTTGGTGGTTCTCTAGAAAGATCCGGATCCCTGGAAAGAATGGAAATGGAAGTTACCCCAACAATTGCTTCAGCTCTCCAAGTTGGACTCCAAACCAGGCGTTTTCCCAAGGATCCCTGGAAAGAATGGAAATGGAAGCTACCCCTAGAATCTTGCGCACTTTTATTCCCACACAAAACCACAGCACTGCTTGAAGCGCTTGCAGCTGCGCCTGCTGCTCCAGCACCCTGACATGCTCCGCAAAGGGCGTGAGGATGCTCAGGAGGTGCTCGTGCACGAACCTGGGTTTGAGCGGCCGGTGGCAACTGCCCGGGGTGATGTGGCAGCTGGTGAACTTACCCGGTCGCCACGATGAAAACAGTGGAAACCTGAATGCGTTTTTGCGCCAACCAGCGCTTTTGCAAAATGTCAAAAGGTTAAGAGCCAACCCAAGCAGCAAAACATTCACCTGCGGTCCTGCCACAAGCGCAGTGCCATGCGGCGATTAAATCTAATCAAACCTCCCAGTCACATCAGACCCAGCCACAGATTGAAGTGTACGCCCAACAGTGGCTGCGGTATCTTGCGGAATAGCTGACAAGAAGAAGCACACTCTCTCACTCACAGTTGAAGCTATGCGTTTACCCAGGGCGTCTCCCAGCAAGATCAAGGACAAACACGCAACAGGTTCAAAGGCTTACAAATCAAACCAAACAAAACATCATACCCGCAATGAACCTGTCTGCTTCAAATCCCTGGAAACAAACGTTTTTCCTTCCTGGGTCCCACCCTTTGAACTACTCTCCCCAAGCTTCCTGAAACTGTTGGTAGTGATACAGTGACAAGATTCAGGAAGATACAGTGATAGAGTGATAGACGGTATACAGTCAAATTGGATACTTAGTCGCAATTTGCAGTCTGAAGGTGATACAGTGATACAAGGTCTAACAACACCCGCTCTATCACTTTCCCAGATTCAGTCATCCGGGATGGAGGATCGTGGTTGCTGCAAACTTTGCGGTCAACGGACTTGCGACAGGGATCACTACTCCCCCCCACCAACCACCAACGGCGACATATTGGGAACCATATCCCCCTGCGGATGTGTGACCTTGCGCCAAGGAAACCCCAACACAGAGGTCAACTAAAACCATCTAGCAAGTGGTTTGTCTTGGAATCAAGTATCCTGCGACAACTACCATAATCCTGTAAACAAGATTTCAACAAGCCCTCGGCAACAAACCTTCATCACGGGTAAGGTTCTGTTTTCCTCAGGCGAGCTCGACGAAAAATCAGTGCAGCTTCAATGCATCCGAGCTGCGCATGCATGGGATTCGCTCCATCCTGCAGATCCGATCTGTCAAGCATGGTTGACTGTGAAATAATCGCTCCTGTTCCCAGCGTTTTCAAATTTGGGGCTCTCAAAGGAGGGGTGGTTGTACCAACACCCACAGGCAACTCGGCGATTGCAGAACATCGGCAGCTTTCGCCACCCGACTGAAAGTTCCCAACGCATGAGCCATGAATGTCGTCCGATTCGAGCTACATCTTGGGCCCCGGGCACCTCAAACCATGCAGCACTTGCCATTGGAGCTACAAGAATCGCTTCAATCTGCGAGGGTCCATGAGACACAGCGACAGGTCTTTATGTCGTATTCCTCAAAGCTTACTGAGCCCCAAAAGCCGTGATTTCAACGAGCTGGGTCCCACAAATTCCTCTAGAACCAGCAGATCTGAGAGTCTACGCGCCCTTTAAATGGCTCAAGTGACCTCTTTGGTTTAGGACCAAGCGACCAAGCGGCCTTCTTTTCCCCAAAACGGATCATAGCACCCAAAAAATAAGTGACTAAGAGACCTTATGTTCACAATGGATCATAGTGAATCGACCTCTTTTCCCCAAAACGGACTCATAGCACCCGAAAAATTGACTCGAGGGCACGGCAATTAGCCGCTGGAGGGCCTCACATCCTTGAGTCGACTCAGGTCTCAGGTCGGCCCATTCGCCTGCGCGCTGCTCTCCAAGTCCTGCGCAGCCGAAAGCTCGAAGCTCGCGGGGCGTGCGGGTGACTCCAAACACGGCTCCCGATATTTCCCCTGAAAACCTCACCCCCACCAAGGGACACTCACCTTTCATGGGACTGGGTGCTCCGAGGTGTGGGGACGGAGCTCTGAGGGGTGGGGAGGGCGGACTTGTGGTTTAGGCGGGGTTGGGGGTTTGTGGTTTAGGCCGGGTTTGGGGTTTAGGTTCGGGTTTTCGGGTACTTGGGGCTGCCCCAATATCCGTTCAACTTTTGCAGGTTGGTGGACGAATAGTCAATTGGAAGTGGCTGTTGCCGCAACAGGTATTCACATGATTAGAGTTTGGCCCAGTTAGAGAATGTATACTTTATTGTTTGCTTCACTTTGAGTCACTGGTAAAAATGTACAATGTATCCTAAGTCTACCCCAGTTTACTTTGTGCGCCCGTGCCGCCCGGTTGTCCTGCCGGCCCTCGAGGTGGGCGAACAGGCGCCCGGATTCGCCCCTTTCAATTCGCCCGCAGCGCTGATCAGCTCAAGCATGGCGGGAGTGAAATTTGTTCATGCCAGTAGTTGGATTCCCTTCATCCAATAACTCACTGGCTGAGTGGATGGCCCAAAAAGAGTCCAAACTTTATATCTACCACTAAAATGGTCTTCCCACAAAGTTTACAGTTCATGAACTCAGGAAGTGAGATAAGGGGTTCCCTTGCTAAAGTATGGCGGGAGCGATTTTGATCATCCCAATAGGGTTCTTGGACTCTCTTCATCCAACAAAAGGGCTTCCCGAAATACCGTTTCTCGGTCGGGAGTCACCGGCCCTGGTGTTGTTCAATGTTTTGGCCCCCTGTTGTTGTTCAATGTTTTGAATGTGCCCAGGGTAGCCCAACAAGAAAGGGGCATGAGTCAACACTGGTTCTCCCCCTTAATGTTGACCCAGGATTAATAAACCCGTCCCATTTTTAGGGGGGTGTTCCCTCCAAAAGTGGTCTGAATCCACACTAAAAGGGGACACCCCCCTATTAATCAACCAGGGGTTTCTCAATCCGGGTTAACACTAGGTCCTCAAGTAGAGAGCTTAGAATAAAGGTACCAACTTTTTTCCGTAGTCTATTGTAGTAGGGGAACCCTCCCCAAAAAAAGAAACGGCAACAGGGCACCTAGCTGGGGGACCTAGAACACTCATCCAACGGCATACCTCCAAACTAGGCTGGAAAATTCGGGACCCCCAGCAAAAATAATATATTTCTCTTTTTTGCCTGGTTCATAAGAAAAACAAAAAGGGACCAATTCCAACAAAAAAAAAGGGGAGCTTGTTTTTTTTCTGGGGAAGCAGCACGCCGCAACCGTGTCCGATGGATCCCCCGCGTTTGCCCGTAGACCCGTAGACCCGGCCAGCTTTCCTCCTGGCGCAGGGCCCAGTCTTGATCCGCAAGCGCAGCCATGGCGAAGCGGTAAGGCGAGAACTGAGGGATGGGTGGGTGGGGAAAAAATAGCACACACCAACGCCACAAATGTGCATATATATATATACATCCACTAACTCTGGTTTATGCATGTATATAGATGTATATACATATATTTATATATATATATATACGGATATATGTATAAGCCTCAGTTGCAGATAAGGAGCAGGTGAGCGAATCGTAACATGATTGGATTGTTTTGCAAAGGCCAAGGCTTCAAATCTCAAGAGTGTGACCAACCATAAGGGGCGGCGTCAAGCCAATCCTCGCGGGCTCAAAGGCATAGCTCCGGGGGTGCTGCGCCGTACCGGCTTCGTGTCTCTTGTGTGTCTTTGCTTCCCGCGACCATGGTGACATGCCTGCGCCATGTCCATCGAACCAGTCCGGAGTTCAACGCGTTCAACTGCATCACTTCAATAAGGCCGCTGCCACCTTCAAGCTTGCTTCCAGCAACAACAGTTGCTCATCTCTGCAACACTGTAACTCGCTTGCTTTCTGCTCCCCTGCTAAAAAGTTTAACTTTTAGTGGCTTAATGGAAAACCCATTAGTTGGCAACAAGTTAAAGTCCTAACATCCCTTGGCAAAATGCGAAGGTGACTTGCCATCCAAGCCAAAAGATTGACACAACTCGTCCATGGCTCCGTGGCTCGGTTCCGCGTCGGCGCTTTTCCACCGGGAGCCTTTGGCGCGTAGCGCCGAACGCTTCCGGGCCTTCGGGGAGTGCCTGAGGCAGCTCCCCGTGCGGTGAAACCGAGAAACCGCCAGCTTGGGGTCGCCGGTTTCGATTCCAAGAGAACTGGGCGTGTCTTGTCCGAGGGTCGGCAGTTTTCGGTCGGTGTTTAAAGAAAAGCCAAAGGAAACCGACTATTGTTGAAGGTTCCCTAAAAATGACACACCCAACTGTTGCTTCCACAACTGACGGCACCAGTGAGAAGGTGCTGGGAATCGTGGAAGATCAACTTCCTCTCAGACCCCATTTTTCTGCATAGCTTTTGTCTTAGCGAGCAATTCTTTCAGATTCTAGGCTCTGCCTTTGGTAAGAAATCTGCCACTTTAAAGCTTTGTCTGGGACTTCTGTAATTATCTAATAGCTATAGCTATTTGTTGAGTATCCAGTTGATTAGCACTACGAAGCACATGGTAAACCAACACGGGGTGTGCCCTTTAAGCCTTCGGGAAATTCAAACGACCCCATCAAGTGTGCGGGCTGCCATATATAGCAAACACAGGCATGTTCCATTTGGCCAGGTTGATATGCTTCAAGAACCCATTGTGATCAGAGCATGCCTTGGACAGCCGACCTCCGGTGCTCGCTCGAGTGCTCGGCCGATTTGATCGAGTTCCGCCATGCACTCTGGCAGTGGTAAAAAACATCTTCGGGCCGCAGGCGCTACAGGAACCAGGTCCTCCAGTAGAGAGCTTAGAATAAGGGTACCCGATGTTTTTTCTGTAGTCTATTTTAGTAGGGGAACCGAATCTCCCCCCGAAAAAGTAACCGTAAAAGGGCACCTAGCTGGGGGACCTGATACAGGAACCCATCAGCGTCACACGCCCTTGGTGCTGGCATGGTTGATGGCCTCCGCTCGCCGCTGGCCCCGCGGCTCCCCGACGGATTTGTTTTCTTTTCGGACACGCGCGAGGCGTCGAAACCCAGAGGGCTCGAGAAACCGGGAGCGGGAGCGGGAGCGCGATGTTTCTGTACGGAACACGAAGCTGCAGGGCTCCAAAGTTGTTGGACGCCCCAAAACACACAAAGATGCAGATTTCAGGCAGTTGAAGCGCAAGTTCCTTGACCAAGTATCAACAGGCCGGGTGCTAGACCAAAAAATCAAACCTCCAGGGAAAACAGGTGTACGGTGTACTCAACCGTTAAGAAGACCTGCTTTCAAGCGGGCCCTTTCTGGTTGATTTACTGGGAACCATCATGTCACAAGTATCTCAGGAGAGTTAATCAAATTAAATGCACTCACAAGATTGATGTTCTCATCAGGCGTCAGCCTGCTGAAACACGAATGGTTTCGGCTGCCTCTTGTTGCTTCTTCTTGGGTGCGACAGTCTCTTGTTGCAAACAAAGTTAAACAAACAACTGCTCTTCTTTGGGGAATGAGGCCAATCAGTTCAAATAGTCTGCCACGAGGTCCCCAACTTCCACATTATGTGCTTCTCTGCAACCAAGGACACCCGCGATGCGCAAGGACACAATACCCCCGGAGTCGCTCACTTCATATGTTGCAAAACCTTTGGTAAGTGTTTTTGTCTGTTGATATTAAATAGAAATTGAATCAAAAGGAGGAACACAAAGGCACTCCTGATTGTTTGATACATATTATTTCATGTGTGAGTCATGCACAGGCCTACCGCTGTTTCTCTTTTCAGGAAGGGTACCGAATCCCTTTGAGCTCGGCCTATTGTGTGTTCGTTCAAACCACCAAAGACCGAGGCAAGCTGAAGTTACTCCCCGAATGAACATGAACCGCGACACCCAAGGTGTGTCCGACTCTTGTGGAAGCCCCCTTTTTGGGTTCCTTCCGCTAATGTGCAGGGGAGTAACACGGCTAAAGAGAAACGATGTAAATGATGCACCACCTAAGAAACCAACAAACAATGGGTTTCCCATGGTTTCGAAGTGATTTCGTCCATCCACAGTATGATTTTACCTACAGCTTGCCCGGAAGGGCGGAGTCGGCGGGAGCTTTTAACATCCAGTTGTCTATACGGTCCAGTTTGGGGGTTTGTCATTCCGGGATCTGGACCCCGGTGGTTGCCCCTTTTGGTGTCCCCTTTGTTTGTAAGCCAGGCATTCGACCATTCACCCTCAAGAAAGAAGGGGTTCAAGGAAGGGAATCCCGCGGCTCCTTCTCATCTCTGCGCTCCCGGCCTGACTCCGAGCCGATTCGGAGAGTTCGACCGGATGCCTCTCTAACCTCTCTCAATCCTAGGTTGTTCTTTGGGTGGCCCCTCAAAAGAGGTCACATACAGTACCAACAGGAGTGGTTCCCAAGGTCCGTCTCATGTCCAGCGCAAGGGGCGCACTTGGGTGGCTCGTCATTTTGGAGATGGTCCGTGTTTTTGGGTCGGTCTTCAAAGGGAAACCAAAAAGAACATCGAAATCCATTTTGGGGACGCCCACCTGGCGAATCCCAATTTTATCAACCTTTGATTCCCTTGCCCAATTTCAGCTATTGATCTCACATTTGACATTGCAAAGGATCCAAGCTTTACCCTCAATTCGGGCAGTGAAATTTATGACAAAGGGAGCCACGATTATAACTGCAGTACTAAAAGTGAATTGGACTAGTACAAACAATAGACTCTTTGCCATTTGCAAGATCTACGTCGCACAGGCTCCCTGGATTCTTGCCCCGCTGCAGAGACCTTAATTTTTGACAAATTCAAGCACGACTCCCAAGCCTGAACCCGGGCTCGCTATCGCATCTCTTGCAACGTGCCTTGTTGCCTGTCGTCCACTGCTAACGGTTGCAAACACGCCACAGAGTTTCCAGTGAGTTACCCCGACTCCATCCACCCATGTCCTGCTGAGGGCGAGGCCGCCTTTCTTCTTTTCACCTGCCGCTTGCATCTCGGAGGTCGTGTTTTCCTGTTAGGAGCCGTCACAGCTTCGCTTGCTGCGAAAACGTGAGACAGGTTGGGTTTCAGGTCCCATTTGGGCCGTGTGCGGCTTCCACCCTAGGGGTCCTCAGGTTCCACTCAGCCGGGTCCCACTCTCCCATGGCGCCGAGCAAATCACTGGCGCAAACGCCCATGGCAAACGTGCGATTGCGTGCGAGTGCGTCCACAAAGCACTTCATATTCAGGGAGTGCTCTAGCACTTGCTCGGGCGAAGACTGTCAGATCATCTTGGCAACGAACACCATGCCCCCCGCCTGAGTCGTTCCAGGCCATCCTAATTATAACTCGATTCGACAGCACCACACAGAAAGGGAGGGAGCCAATAAGAGGGCATTGCCTTTGAACACCCAGTTCTTTGCATGCTGTGCATGTCGATGCAGCAAGGCCCCAGGCCTCGATTTTTCGCGTACCACAGCAACTTGACATATTGTCCACCAGGTTCCCAAGCATTATAATGAGGCCTCACTTAAACAATACGTGCAACATCCGTGGTACCTCAGTTGACTCCACTCGGATTTCACTTGCGAAGTGACCAGTATCCAGCTATGCTACCTTAGTTGCCGTTCCGTGTGGAGGTTTGTGACATTTCTGGTTCAACAGCCGTCTCTCAATTAGAAGGAACAAGAGACCCCCCGCCCCTCTCCCGCCGTGCCTGACTTTGCCTGAAGCCGCATGCCAAGGAGAGCCAACTGCCCAACCCCACGTTTCCAGGTTCACGAGCCAACCAAAAGGGGCGGCTGGTTTAGGGAAGCTGAAAACTTCCCAAGCCACCAGAAAATGCTTTTAGACCGTATTCAGAGACTTCTGGAAAGAGATCTGACAACCTGTTTTGTTGTAAGGGATTCCAAATGAGTCTACTGAACAAGCTTCATCAAACATGTCAGTCGGTGGCCAAAGGGTTGAGTTAACTATAACCCTTTCGCCGACAAACGAACGGGTGTTACACCCCATGCACCCCACGGCAAACGACGCAGGAACCAAGTGGCCAAAATTCACTACACCTAACTCAAGCTCACTGGCAGGACATGCATCGGTTGCCTTCTCAAGAGACTGCAATGAGTTTCGAATTGGCTATAAAACAAAATCGTGCGGAATGACCTGAACCATAGCACAACCTCCCGTGTTGATCCAGCGGGTCCCCACTAAGCCCACATGAAAAATCATACCCAGTTTCCGGGTACTTTTGAAAGCTTTAACGGGACCCAAACCAAAAAAAGCAACCCGAGCAGTGGCATAACTTAGTTTTCCTGTGAAACACGAAGAAGGCGGGGCGACAGTCAGGGCGAATCCGTTTCGACTGGTCCAACGGTGCTGGAGATGGAACTCACACTTCATTTGAACAAGGACATGCAAAGGCGCTCGCCTCGTACATGGTC